AATCAGATTTGAAGAATTTTTCAAATTAGGCATTAGACAAAGAGAAATCTTATAGCTCGTTTGTAATTGGCACTTTGCTTTAAATTGGGAAAAATAGGTTTTAAGGTGCTAAGAGGAGTAATGAGTGTTCTGAAGGGCTTTTGAGACAATCCTAAGGCTAGATAATGTGTGGGGATCTGTTGAACAAAGAACCACCCACCCATGGTCTAATATGGTTAAGTTAAAAGAAAATTGATTATGACTTGTGTGTATGACATAATATTGGCATAAGAATTGATAAGTAAAAGAAGAAATCAATAAATGGTGTGTTTGGTTAATTACCTGGCTTTGAACCATTTTATTGATATTTGCGTGTATTTCCTATTCTAGGTGCGCCTATGAGTCTTGTTGAGGATCCTACGTTAGAGGAGGCTTGGTAACTCGTATTTCGGGTAGGCTATTTATACAGCTTCGAGAGGTAAACTCTATGGTTAAGGGGTTCGCTCCTACTTTGTGTTGTGCCATAGTATATGGACTTTGTCGGGTTATATGATATGTATGAGATATATGATATAGAGGCATTCATATAGAGCTATATGATGATGTGATATATATGATGATTCTTGGCCATTGAATCGGTGTGCCTCAACTCCATGTAGGGGAGAGACCCTTGGGAGTAACGTGTAAAACTATTTGTGTCTCATGTGTAATGTGTGTCAATTGGTTTAATTAATAATAAAAGAGGCTTTATGGTAATTGATGTTTTGCATTATGGTAACGTTTTGCATTAATGGTAATTGACGTTTCGCATTAATGGTAATTGACGTTTTGACGTTTCGCATTAATGGAAAGTTACAGGGAGTTATTTGAAACTCCGTAACTGGTGACATGGTTCAGTTATATAAAGAGAAAAATGGTGAGTCTCTGATAACGCTAATCTCTCAGAATTCTCTCCTTCATAGTCTGCCCATAAAAGTTGTATCAGATCCCTGTCATAGACGATACAAGGAAAGCAGATCCCTGTCATAGACGATACAAGGACAGCAGAGGATAAAGACTCTGAGAAACAATCTTCCATCATCAAAGTTCTTCCGCAATAATGGAGAAAGGTAGGCTCTTATGTGAAAATCATGAATTCTAAAGATCTTGTATCATGTTCTTGAATGTTTATTGTTGAACATGAATGAATGAATTAATAATAAATTACTTACATAACGATGTACACAAATGAGATATGAGATATTCCATCTAGGGGAGAGACCCTTGGAAATAAGTGCGTTGATTTCCACTTGGAGAGAGGTCATTGGGGAATGACTGCGTACTTCAGAGATGTTATATGAGATATGTTCAGTACACAATATGGTATATGATGTATATGATGTTTTATATATTATGTATTTGACTGTCATGCAGGAAGTGAGCCCAAGGTATGGAGAGTTCTTTATAAACCTGGAGTTTACTGAAGATTCGTCTTTCACCCTGTTTGGGGATATGATTTCAAGTATACAGTTAGCTGGAGAGCCCTCACGGGGACAAGGACATTACTCGTGGCTAGAGGTGCTAGTATAAGGATATGGAGTTTTGGGTAGCCGGAGGTTACTATTTATTATATATGTTATTTTTGGAGAGCATGTACTGTTGTATTTGTGCTCTATTGTATTTGTGCTCTATTTATTTAGTGATCATGATGTCTGATCCAGAGTTATGTATATGTGCTTGGAGCTATGGTTGGGTTTTATAGTTGTATGTTATATGTATCTGATATATTATGATGCATGTGCTTCTCAGGACAATTATGAGATTGAGATTATATTCTCGTTTATCCGAGAAACAAACAGAACTCTGTCAATGAAACTAGTTGTCATATCCTAATGGTGTGTGATCTTTGACTATGGTCATTGATTATGGATGTATTAGAAAATAAAAAGAAAGAAGAAAGCATATTATGAACAAGTAAGAAAAGATGTATGTGTTGCAATATATCATGTGAATTGAAAAGAAACAAGAAGAAAAAGAAAAAGTTAGCTTGTACTTTCACTAATCTAGTTAAAATACTAAATAAGACTTTCGCTGATGCATGTTTAAATATCATATATATGTTAATTGAATCGGCTCGAAATGAGGATGTTACATCTGACATGATATAGGCTAGGCCATAGGCCCTACTGGTACACCTGACTCACTTACATGCCCTACTCTCTAGTATTCAAAACAGACGCTACACTTAGCGTAGAACTTTATATTAAGGTGGGCAATAAAATCTCCCTAATAAAATTAAGGATTTGTGTTAAGGAATTAAATAGTAAATATTTTCAAAAATAAAAGTATTTAATATTAAAAAAATTTAAAAAAATATATAGTTTTTTGAGATAATATATATATATATAGGGTTCGCTTTTTCTGCCGTTACTGCAGATAAGTTATCTGCAGTAAGCTCAATACGACGTCGTTTTGGGGCGGAAATCATGATGTTTTTGTAATTTTAATTTATTTCAGGGTTATAATAGTCTTTATATTTATAATTTTTTAAGATTTCAATATAAAACGACGTCGTTTTGGGAATAAAAGCAGATAACTTATCTGCATTAACTGCAGAAATATATATATATATATATATTATAATAGTATTGCTATTCACCACCACTGATGACTTAAAAACTATATTTCCAAACTGCTTGGCATGATCTATGAAGCACCGACACTTCAAAAATCCTGACGTGTCGTATCCGACACTTATCGACACACTCCGACACTCCCCGACACTCCAACACACGTTATAGAAATTCAAAAAAAGGTTTAAAGGTTACATTGCGTTGAGTTTTTAGTTCCAACTATTAGATTCGTTGGATTACGATTACTATTTTACTGAGGTTCATATAAATATTTGGGATATCTTATGTTTTTTTGCAAAATTTATGAATATTATAAGTTTAGATTCTTTTTTATTAAATTATTGAATATTAAATATAATATACACCACATAAATTAAAAATATTATTTAATATCAAAATGTGTCCTAACGTGTCAAAATCTAACATTTTTTAGAATTAACGTGTCGGAGTGTCGTGTCGTATCGTGTCACGTGTCCCATGTCAGTATCGGTGCTACATAGGGCATGATTGCCACACAACTGCCTTTAATTTCTGTTAATGAAAAATTATAAAGAAAAGAAAACCTTAAATTTTCGTTCGTGAAATTCGCATTTATGAAATTTTATTTATTTATTTATTTTGAAATTTGACTTATTAATTGGCTACGTGCTGATATAACTTTCAGATTTTTCTCAAGTATATTTTTTTTTATGGAAATTGATTTTTTATCTTAAATAAATAAATAGAATAATATTCTCGTAATTTTCTTTAAAGTTGACATTCTTTGCCTAATGAGTAGTAAATTAAACAAAAAATATTTGAAATAGGAAATTCATTAAAAAAACCAGAAAAACGGCATACTATTTCTATTTATTAAATATTATTGTTAACTCTCTTTTTTCTCTTTTTTGATTTTTTTTTCTTTTTTTGGTAATAAGAGAGGGGCATGAACCCAAATCAGAAAGAAAGAAAACAGGAAAACATAAATACAAGAGCAGAAAGAAAAACTAAACAAAATTTTATGTTGCTGTCTCTTTGTTTTGTTTTGTTTTTTTCAACTCAGAGCAAATCATTCAAAGGTATTATATTCATATACTATCCATTTCTCTTTATTCAAAGTTTGGACGAGATTTTATTTTATATGTTTTTCATCGATTTTAAGATTTGGTTCCTACCAAAATTTTTAGTAGTAATTCTTATATTTTCACTTTTTTTCTAATTTTTACTATAAATATATTGACTCCTCTATTTATGTATGAGATAAGTTATTTTATCTACTTTTTTTTTCACGTCTACCTTACCTATCAATCTTTAACACCGTCAGATTAGAATTTCAATGGAAAAAAAAATTATAAACATTAGTTGACATTTTGATAATAGTGTTAAAGAATGATAGACATTTTGATCTAATTTTAATTCTGAATAATTAATATTTATTTAAATATTTTTCTTATTTTATAGAAAAAAATTTACATGATTTTTACTTATAATGATATTTGTTTTAAAAGACAAAAATATAAATAAAGTAAGAAATGAATATACTAAAACACGCATTTGGTGGAAAATTAGGACTAACGTCTGTTAAACCATTCAAAAATTATATATTTCTTAGTTGTTTAATTTTCATGTAGTCATTATTCATTAATCATATATAATGCAACTCACAAAGTGACATACGCAGAATCACATTAAAACATTTATGCACAAGCCTGCCCGCAATATAATAATAATCTTTGATTATTTCTTACCTTACAAAATTTATAACTTTGAGATTTTTCTTCATCCATTTTGTTAGTCAGAAAATGGCGAGTGATAGGAGGGAACATACTTTTGCCCAACGGGGACAGCAAAATTGTCATTCATGTTAAATCTTTGTAAGCCATTCATGTTAAATCTTAGTGAAAAAAAAAATTCCTTCCACAAAAAGAAATAATAAAAAACTACAAAAAAGGGTTTTGTTTACCAAAAAAAAAACTACAAAAAGGGTTTTTCAAAGATAAACTCGAAATATGCTGTCGAACAACACTCCAAAAAGTGAATAGAATGTTTCGGTCCAGCAATAAACTTCACTCTTGAGACTCATTATGGTAATTTTAAATATTTTTTTAAAAATTTAAATTTTATAAGAATTTTAAAAAAATATTTGATTTTAAAAAAAAAATATATTTAGCTCTTGACTTTTTCTTTTTTAAAAAACTAAAATTGTTAAATTTTTAAAAAAAAATTAGCTTTTCTATGACTTGTATTTTTTTTAAAAGCAGATACTTAAACAAATTTTTTCTAAAAAATACTTTTTAAAAAAAATAGAAAAAAAGCTAATCCATACATTCTCTAAGAGTGTACACGACAACCATTCTGTTTGTTGGCACTGTTTATGAAAAGAAACAATTCTTTTCTATTTCTGTTCCTTGGAACAGTTTTTGAGAAAAAATGTGTTTGATAACGTGCAGTGGTGCTGGCGACGGCAATAATGGTGGTGGCGATGGTAGTAGCAGTGGCAATGGTGGTAGCAGCGACGATGGTGGCGACTTGGCGGTGGCATGGTGGTGGTGGTGACGGCAGTGGCTGCAGCAATGGTGGTAGTGGTTGGTGGTTGGTGGTGGCGGCGTGGTGATTGTAGTAGTGGTGGTGATGATAGTGGTGGTTGGTGATGGTGGTGGTGGCAGTGACATGGTGATGATAGTGGCGACATGGTGGTGTGATGACGGTGGTATAGTGGTGGTATGATGGTGGCGGTGACGGCAGTGGCTGCGGCGGTGATGGTGGTAGCGGTGGTAGTGGTGGTAATAATAATAGTTGTAGTGGCGATGATGGTGGCAGCGGCGTGGTAATGGTAGTTATGGTGGTGACGATGGTGATGGTGGTGGCAGCAGTGGCTGCAATGATGGTGATGGTGGTGGTGGCAGCAGTGGCTGCAATGATGGTGATGGTGGTGGTGGCAGTGGCTGCAATGATGGTGGTGATGGTAATGATGAAGAGTGATTGAGAAAGACAAAGGTTTCTCATTTTGTGCGCGAAACAAAAAAACAGAATTTTTTTGATTCTTTTTTGGGTAAAGTGTGTGTCATTTTAAAGGATGTAAAGTTGTGTCATTTTAAGAGAGAGAAAGAGATAGATAAAGGAGGAGAGAGAGTTGACAAAAAAATATAAAGGTGTGGGTCCCACCTCTTTGTGATAGTGAAAGGATATAAGTTGTGTCATTTAAAAGGATAAATAATTTTCCCTTCTTTTTTCTATTCCTTAGCACAAAAATTAAATCGGTTCATCCGGGAACAAAAAAATAAATCGGTTTTATCAAATGAGTTTTCTATCCATATATGCTCCCGGAAACATAAATTAAAAAAAAAATAATTCTGAGAAAATTGTCATGCACACCCTACTTGAATTATAAATTGATTTTGTGTGTAAACCCTGCTATTTGTTTTTTGTTCCCTATATCTTAACGCATATTTTTCCTTATCTAAATCGACTTCAACCCTACAATTAGGGTTGTTCAAAATATCCAAAAGAACCAAACGATCCATAACCAAACCGCTCCACATCTTAAAAACCTATTATTTTTAAAAACCGGTTTCATATGAAACTACATTTTATTTTATAAATGGTTATTTGTCAAACCATAAAAATAATTGGTTATCCATGGTTATCCATAACCAAACTACTGTACAATTAAAGAACAAGTAGGTATTATCTTTTATTATGCCTATTATATTAGTCAATTGACTCATACTTTCAAACAATAAACTAGCAAAAAAAGTTAAGCAGCTCAATTAAATAAATAATTTTGTCCGATGAAATTTTATCCGATAACTTCTGTAAAAAAAATTTACAAAAATTTTATTTGTCAAATTTTTTTGCGGAAATATTTTTCATCGAAATTTTTTGACAGAAATTCGTTCCATTGAAAATTATGATAGAAATGTTTTTTGTTGAAAATTTTGCTGGAAATATTTTGTGTCGAAAATTTTCGATAAAAATGTGTTTCGTTGAAAATTTCAACGGGAATTTTTTCCGTCAAAATGAATGATGAAAATATTTTTGTCGAAAACTTTTGACGGAATTTAGATTTTTTCCGTCAAAAATTTCTACATAAATATTTTTCGTTAAAATTTTTGATTGAAATATTCTTCGTCCAAAATTTCGACGAATATGTTTTTTGTCAAATATTTTGAGGGAAGTATTTTAACGAAATTTAGATTCCATAAAGAATTTTGACACAAAAAAAATTTTGTCAGAATTTTTTACAAAAATATTTTTTATCACAAATTTTTACGAAAATGTTTTCCGTAAAAAAATTTGACGGAAATATTTTTCGGCAAATTTTTTTACGTAATTGTTTTTTGTCAAAAAAATTTGATTGAAATATTTTTCCTTGCAAAGTTTGATGGAAATATTTCCGTTGAAAGTTTCAATGGAATTTAGACTCTGTCAAGAATTTTGACTGGATTTATTTTCGAAAAAAATTTATGCCAGTTATTTTGGCCAATTCTTGTTTCGTCTCTATTTTGAACTAAATGGATCCATTTTGAATTTATTAAGGACAACAATGGGCCAACTCTCAAACAAGGGAAGAGATTAGAAAAATCAACTCTCATAAATCTTGAGAGAACGAAGAGCAAATTTTTTTTTAGTAATTTTAAGATAAACCAACTGCTCTTCTACCAATCACTCTCGAAACAATGTGAAACAATTTCTATAAGAATCATTTCATCCGGAGAGTTCCAAAACAATGAAGATTCTTGCAAAAAATAGTTGGTCAACTACTTTATAAAAATAACAATCCATCAAAAACCAATTTTGAATTTGTTGAAAAACCGATTTGAATTTGTTAAAAAACCGATTTTGAATTTGATAACCGGTTTATGGTTCATAACCGGTTTTGATTTAAAACCGGTTTTGGAATTAAAACCGGTTTTAAATCAAAACCGGTTATGAACCACAAACTGGTTTTGAAATCGGTTTTAAACCATTTTGGACAAATTAAAAACCGGTTTTTTTTTTAAAAAAAGTGGTTCGGTTTAAAATCCAAACCGTTTAAAACTGGTTTGGTTCATTGACAGACAATG